TTTTAAGCACCCAAGGCTCCAAAACCTGCACAGGCTCAAACAAATGCAAAAAATGCAAAAATCCAGACCAATCAAGCCCTGACCTCTAACATTGCATCTGGGTTTTGCATGTTTTGCATTTGTTTGAGCCTGTGCAGGTTTTGGAGCTTCCAGGTTTGGTTGTTTTGCATTTTTTGAGCCTGTGCAGGTTTTGACGCTGAAACCATCAAAAACGTTAAAAAAAATGTATTTTTTTGCAGTTTCCTTAAAAAAACACTGCACATAACAGTGATTTCACTACTGACAAAGTTGCCTCTGAAAACGCTTTCCGTTTTCGTGTTTGTTGCTTTCTCGAATCCTGTTTTGCATCAAGTACAGAAAGCACATCTGAGACAATATCAAAAATTGCACAAAAACACCGTAAATTACAGTGCTGTCTGCAAGGCATCTGCAAACCAAGTGGACACTGAACATCTGCAAATAAATCTCTGTCATGCAAAAAGTAGAAAGGTAGGCCCTGGGGGGGGGGGGTGACCATATATACATATACATATATATATATATATATGTAACACTATATAAATACACACATAAATCTAATACACCAAATATCTAGATGCTGTATTGCTGTTCAAATAGCCATTGTCTCCTGAACTGGGACCTGTCCGAGGCCGGCTCCACTGACTCTGCCAGTCCTGAAAGCCGCTTGGAAGAGCTTGGCATGAGCTTGGCAGGGATGTCATGGGAATCCCGGACCCAAGCAGAAGCCCTGCTTGATTTTGATCTTTTGATGGGCTGTGCGCTACCCTTTAAGTGGGGTTCGTCACAGCCCTAAGGACAGGTACTTAGATCCGGGGTCAACATGCCCCCCCCAAAGAAAGCAAAAACAAAGACAAGAAGAACACAAGACAGTTGTTTTCCTCTTGAACTTCCATTGGAACCCACACAGAAAGCGGCGGGCGGTTTGGACCGTGTTCGCTTTAAAGGGGCCATTTCCCAACGTCAGGTTGCGGCTGAGTTGGGAGGGTGTCAACTCTCACCACAAAAAAACGGCACCGAGCCGCCCGAGAGGCTGCGGGTCTTTTTCATCAGTGATTGTGGACACAAGGGGAGGAGTTGCGCCCGAAACTTGCTCAGAATGCCAAAGTCTGGATCTGGGACAAGATGAAAACAACAAGCCACTTGAAACGGTCTGCGCCCCAAACTTGCTCAGAATGCCAAAGTCTCGATCTGGGACAAGATGAAAACAACAAGCCACTTGAAACGGTCTCCTTTCGGTACCGATACCTTCAGTTTGGCAAGGCCAAGTCTTGCAATTCCAAGTACAGCCTTGCCCAAGTTCATGTTGCCTTTGAGTTGGAAGAAGAAACAACTCTTGTTGGAGGCAATCCATCGCTCGAGGCAATCCTTCGATGTGGTGTTGGGTTGAGGATTGGAAGAAGAGTAGCTTTTTCCTTCGAGGATTGCCTCTGTTGAGGATTGAGGTTTCAGTTGGAAGAGTTGCCTCCACCCCTCCCCCACCGCACCCCACCCCACCCCACCCCACCCCACCCCACCCCACCCCACCCCACCCCACCCCACCCCACCCCACCCCACCCCACCCCCCACCCGCGAGCCGTTGGGCCGTTGGGCCGTCGGGCCGTCGGGCCGTCGTTCTGTTCCGTCCCGGCCGTCGCAGGCGAAGAGCGCCGCGAGCCACGCCGGGCTGAAGGATCAGCTCCGCGCGGCCGCGGGGAAGCTGCGCGGCCGCTTCGCCCCGCGCGAGGCAGCGCGGGCCCGCGAGCGGAAGCTGGAGGCCCGCCAGGGCGGGCGCATGGCACGTTTTTTTTTCTTCTTCTTCTTATTCCTATTTGTTTAAAGTGTTGTTTTAATTCTCTTGTTTTTAGAGGGGAGAGGGGGAGGTTTGGAGGGACAGAGAGCAGGTTATACCCCAAGCTTTTTGCTTAGCCATTGGATAAGTGGGGGCTCGTCTTTTGGTACCCATGGTTGGTTGGTTGTAAAGGGAAACCAAAAGGAAAGCCGAATCCATTTTGGGGGGTCCAACCCTGAAAAGACACACCCAAGTATTGGGCTTCACTAGGTGATTGTCGTATTTCCTCTGAAGCGTATCCGGAGTCAATCGACGTGCTTGAGGCAATCCTTCTGAATGCCTATTTAACCAGTAGTCATGGTGTGCTGTGTTTTTGTGCTGTGTTGATCCGCCGAGTCTTAGCGGAATCTTTTCATTCTGCTTTGCATGCGGGCTTGAGCTCGTCGTTGGATAGCTGCGGCGACCTTATGTGGGAATCTAGCAAACGTGTTTGCACGGAAGTTCGCAAAGGCCTTCACGGAAGCCCTTGTGACTGCCATACGACTCTCTACTCGTTACGCATGAAGCGCCGACAACATTGTTCCGAAGGAAAGGTGAGCGAGAGCTCTCGCGTGCCTGAGAAAATCAAGCGTTGGCACCTTGATTCCAGGGGCACTGAGCCATATGTGCCATGGTCAAACCATCACTTCGCATGGGCTAACGGGATGGTCATCCACCTGAGAGTAACCAAATAGCGATCATAATGATTTCAATGAAAGGAACCATGACCCAATCGGCCATATGCGGAGCTTTGACCATGGCTCATATGCTGATGGGGAGCCATCTTTCAAGTTTTCCCGCAGGCGCCGAACATGAAGATTGCCAGCCCACGCCCTGAACTCAGTTTTCCCACACGGGTTGTGGGGGGTAGAAAGAAGAAGCTCCAGGTTTGACCACAACTCATAGGTTGGGAGGGAGCTCCAGGTTGGGTTGGATGGGCGAGGCTGTTTGAGCATTGTGAAAAGCAGAAGGGCTTCTTAGGAGAGCTGCGAGGAGTCGATCGCCGAAAAAAGAAAAGAAAGAAACAGTGCGCTTGAGGCGAGTTCAATCCGGCGCCGGTGATGCACGAGCCACCGGCCCGGTCGTGGGACACCCTGCGGCGGGGAGCTGAGGGGTCGTTCCACGCGCGTTTTTGGAGCGACCTCTCAGATGGCCGAGGGTGGATGCGCCGGAACGGCGATACCCGCTGCGGAGCTTGGGGCGGTGCGCTGTCCGAAAAAAAAGCGTTACGAGGAATCAAAGGCTACTTAGGGGAAGTGCCAACAAAAAGGAACGGCCACGAACTGTGGCGCGCAAACTGTGCGTTGGGCGGAGGGATGTTGCGGTGACTTCCCGGCAGGTATGCGAATCACGAGCTTCACGACAAGCCTCCGTGGAAGGCGGGCCTCGCCGGAGTTTCGAGCTGCTCGGGATTGTTGGTTGGCCCGGAAGCGAACATGGCGTAAATGGGCTTTCCTGTTGGTTTCCTGTCAAAAAGCCACCAAAATGAAAAAAACAAAAGCAAACCTAAACCAAGACACACTGAAGTGTTTTCGACACTCGGGTGACTGGGGCCCAGGATCCCAAAGCCTCCGCCCGGCTGCAGGCGCGTTTTGTTTTCTTCGCCTCTCGCGAGTTGTGGGTGACAGCGCCCGGACCTGGGAGTTGAGCTTCCGGTCAGGCGTTGTGACGCCAAGTTCCGACTGATGACATCAGCTGCTTAGATGGGACGCCGTTTGGCAGTTGCCAGCATGGCAGTGAAGGGTTTTCTTGGAGGTGTAGCCCTTGTCGCATCGCGCGAGGTTCTTCCAATCGCTTCCAGATATATCATGATATATCATGAGATATCTAGCCCTGACGCCCTCGGCTGCTCCTCGATCCTCTGTCTCTGAAGGAGCAGAGGCTCGACCCGTTTCGGGGACGAGAAAAGACGTCTGGTCGATCCGTTTGCTCACGGCTGCCATGGTTGCTCTTGACATTTGGCTGTGGGTCAAAACCAAAGGTAGCATTTTGGGGTAGGTGAATTCACCACCCATTTTAGTCTATTTTAGTGGCTGGATTGGGATGTTCACCAGGGGATAACCGGGCTTTTGACCCATGGCCATTTGTCGCGCCCGCAAGAACGTACTTCCCGACTAGCCATGAATGGCTCTGGGGATCATGGCACTCAGGACGGCCCGGAGGCCGTCCGATTGCGTTCTTCTGGTGTTTTCGAGTTGAGCTCAAATAGCCCGCCTTTTTCACACACACACACACACCCATCCACAAACATGGCACCTCACCAAGACAGCTTTCCTTTATAGTTGTTGGCATCTCTTTGCATTTGTTTTTGCTACTTTGTTGTTTTGGTGGTTTTTTGGTTATTTGGAGCCATGCCAAGGGTTAGAAAGGTTCAATCCGAGCCAATTCCCTGCTAGGTTCCATGGCACCGCGGGTCGAGACCACGCAGAGGGTCTCCGATAAGCGGCCATGGAGCCAGGTGCGGGGCGCATTCGAAGAACGCCCGGCTCGTGTTCCTTTTGAAAGGCTGGATTTTCCCAGAATGGCTTGCGCGAGCTTTCGGTTCTACGTTTTTGGTGTTGCTCGACAAGGAAAACTCCAAGAGAGGCAGCCGCATCCAATTCATGCCATCAGATTCCTCCATTCGCCAGTTGTCAGGCTCTCTGCCTCAGACCCAGGCACGGCTTGCGCTTCTTCTTTGGCCACGAGCTGCCATGGGTCTACCCCAAAAACAGCTGGATCTGTGCTTTGGTTTGTTTTCCCCACCGAAATTTTCGGCAGCCCTGAGAAACGGAGTCCGACCCCAAGAACGCCCATCCAACTGCCGTTTTTCCTTCCGGGGATCCCTAAATTCCGATTTCTTGGTGGTTGGCTTCCAGGGGGAAGCTCCGGGTTTGCTTTCCACGAATCCTTCCCCGATTGCGCGGCGAGCGATGGCTGGCGCGCGCGGCTTGCAGGTCCCCCGGCTCTTCACGCTGCTGGACACCAACGGCGATGGCCCGGAGGCCCAGAGGAGGGAGGAAGCTGCCCGAGGTGTTGAAGGAGCCGTGTTCTTTTTTTTCCTTTTTTTTTTCTTCTTTTTTCTTCTTCTTTTTTTTCTCTCCCCCCAAACTCGGCCCTTCATTCTCTGTGCGGGACGAGTCGTGTCTAGTTGTTGTTTCCTTTTTTTTTGATTGGTTTTGCGGGGTGAGGGTTGCCCGAACTCAGCTTTAGAAGTTCCCGCTTGGCCTCCGAGGTGTTATTAGCCAGAAGGAGTTTCTTCAAGCCATGGAGCCTGAAAGGACCGACCTTGGGCAGCGTGCATTTGTGGCGCCAAAACACGTCTTTTCCTCCTCCTCTCCGCCAGGAACACGCGGGTTTTGACGCCACAGAGGCGGATGCTCCGGTTCTTTGCGGTCCGCGAAACACGGGGGGAACCCACCCGGGTGTGGAGCGGGGAAAACCGATCGCCCGGATGCTGGTGAGGCCGCCGGGGCCGGCTCCGCGACGTGCCTGGGGCTGGGGCGCGGGGCCAAAGACTTTGCCCTGTGCCGGGGGCGATCTCCGCGGTCGGAGTCGCAAGCGCTGAGGCCAGACGCCACAGGCGCCGGGCAGTTTTCACAGTTGCCACAAGTGACTGGTGTGACTGGTGTGACTGGTGTGACTGGTGTGACTTGTGTGACTTGACTTGTGCAGCTCAGTCAGGAGCCCGTCACCTCCAAGGCCCGCATGTGTCAGATTCCCCGCAGAGCTGGTCTGCGTTCAGGGCGAAGCTTGTCATGTGGAAGAGGGCAGTTGTACTCGTGGGCTGGTGCGATGGCAGGCGGAGCCATGCGAGAGGCCCAACTCTTAGTCAGGTTGGGTGGAGCGGATTGTCTGATGGATTGACAGATGCTGTTTTTGCTGAGTTGGAAGCAGGTTTGCCCGATGCTCTGAAGAGATGTCTGGGCACTGGATCAGGAATTGATTCTGCCTGAGTGAGGTTTGCCCGATGCTCTGAACAGATGTCTGGGCACTGGATCAGGAATTGATTCTGCCTGAGTGCAAATGGCCGAGGTCCACCTTGCCAGACCCCGTGATGATCTCACCAAAGACTGGGCTGCTTGCCTTGCCTTGTGCCTGCCAATGATTTCTTGGCTTCACTTTGGGACCGCAGTCCTCACTTCAAGTCTGAGCTCAGAAGCAGCTCGACAGAATGCTCCGTCTCCTCCTCCTGCCGCTGGCGCTCGCAGAGCTCGTAGAGCTGGCGGAGCCGGCCTTGCGGGGCGCCCAGACGCGCCCGGCGCCGGCTGCGGCCCCGGCCGAATCCTCGGAGGCCTCGGAGGCCTCGGCGCACGCGGCGCGCGCGGCGCGGCTCCGGCAGTGCGGCGTGCTGGGCGGGCCGCAGCGGAAGGGCCGGCGCGCCCGCATCGTGCATGGCGTGGATACCGAGCGCTGCGCCTACCGCTGGCAGGCGGGGGCGGAGGAGTTTTAGACGTGAGAGAACGCGCGGACGTTTTGAGAGGGGGGGCCGGGAAAAGGCGCGCTTAGCAGCATGAGTGCTTGTGCTTTGGCCGTGCGAAGGTGAGTATTCAGACGCAAGAGGCGCAATCAGCTTGGCACTTCTGCGGGGGAACGCTCTTGAGCCCCGATTGGGTCTTGACAGCGGCGCACTGCGCATCGGAGGACCGGGGGGAGCGGGGAGAAGTTGGAGAGGTTTGGCCATGGGGCATCACCTCTGGCGAGCCATTTTGGGGTAACATCCATTTGCCACCTATGAAATGATGTTCACTAGGGGTTTCCTGGGTTTTGACCCATAGCCATGTGAGGCTGCTTGTCAGGTCACCAACGTGTGCCAGCTTCGCAAGCTACGAGTAGTGGCTGGCGACTGGAAGCAGAGCTCCAGCGAGGACAAGGTGATGCGCCGCGTGAAGAAGGTATTTTCCATCCCCAGCTATGACGTGCCTGTGGCTATGTGTCCAGCATTTTGTTCACTTCACTGTGTTGTCAACGGGGCTGCTAAGCAATGACGCTTGAGAATCAAATTCCAGCTTGGATGAGTTGGACACCACGCCAACATACCTGGGCCCGCCATTCATAGCTTGCTTTGGGTCCGTGAACTGAGGTGGCGGCGAAGTCCGACAACGATTTCGCGCTGCTGCAGCTGGACAAGCCGGTGCCCATCAACGAGTGCATCGGCACGGCCTGCCTGCCACACGAGAGTGACCCCATAGGCCAGGAGTGCAGCATCACCGGCTGGGGCACGGTGTCCAACATCGGGCCCACCCCCGACACCCTGCAAGAGGCCATGGTGAAGCTGCTGGACAACAAGGCCTGCAAGGAGGCCTATGCCAAGAGCAACTCGAAGGAGAATATGGTTACGTAGAAACATACATAACACAATAAGACATGATACAACATAACAACATGACATCACATAACATAACATAACACAACATAACACAACACAACAGAACATAACATAACATACGTAGGCGTGTTTTATTTTAGGGGACCCCCGCAAAAAAGATGATTCCTTTGCAAACCTACCAAAAAGGGGACACCCTCAAGAAAGACATCCGTACGGTGCATACCATGCGTCAGACAAGAACCCCCGCCCCCCAAAAAAAAGAGAGAGAGAGAGAGAGACAACAACAACTTGGTCCTGGGATCGATGGGATTGGATTGCCCATCATCGATCTGCAGCCCAGGCTGCAGATCAGCTTAACGTGGAACTCCAAATGCCCGGCATTTCTTGGAGGACTCTCCTTCCATGTCTGTTAGTTTGCCGGTTGGGTGGGTGGATGGGTTTAGGGTTGGTTTCGGGTTGGTTTCTGTGTTGGTTTAATGTTTGCTCATGGGTTTACATACATAATTACGTATGTACGTATGCACTCCCGTACGTACATCGATACATACATACATGCACACATACATGCACACATACATGCACACATACATGCACACATACATGCACACATACATGTATGCATGCATACATGCATCAATTGTTTCGGTCCCCAGGTTCGCTACCAATTTGATCCCCAACCATCAAGAGTCTTATAGCCGGGCCCATTTCTGCTCTTCACCGGAAAGACGCCAGCGCATCCAACAAGATTGGCCCGTTCTGGTAGCAAGCACAATCTTTTTGATCTTGTCATTGAGATCATAATGTTGATGATACTTGTAGCTAAACTCACCTTAAAACCCTTGGACAAGCCCTGAAAACCCAAACTGATCTAGAACCGAAGCCTAAGCCCAAACCGTTTGCTTAAACCAGGACTACACCCGAAGGCCGAACCTTAGCCAACGAAGCAGGAGTGGAAGGGGGGGAGGGCAAGCACCTGAATCATACATGTATATATATATATATAAATATTCTACATGTATGATATATAGATTTCGGCACATTTGTACACAACCAGTGCGTTCATACATCCATGTTGGGCGGCTTTTTCGGGCAACATGCCTCTGGCGCGGTTTTTTGAGGCAACGACACCGTCACGGATGCCATGATTTGCGCCTCTGGTGTGTCTGACTTGGGCATCACCGACAGCTGCCAGGGCGACAGCGGTGGTCCTCTCAGCTGCGAGGAGAACGGCCGCTGGGTGGTGCGGGGCGTCACTTCCTGGGGGGAGGGCTGCGCCATGCAGGGCTTCCCGGGGGTCTACGCCAGGGTCAGCTCCGCCGTCGCCGCTCGGCCAAGACGTGTGGCTTAAGGCAGTCGGCGGTCGTCTTTTTTTATTTTATTTTTATTGTAACGGTGGGTCGGCGATTCATCAAACGTTGCAGGGGTGCAATGTGTGTGTTTGTCTAAAAATAGAAATGCCCCCCCTTCCAAAAAAACAGGAAGAAGAAACAACACATATTCGTGGTTTGCCTGTTGAAACCATCCAAAAATGATTCCCGACATGCATCCATTTGTTGGATTCCTCCCATGCGCCTGGTCAATCTCGGTTTTTCATGTCAGGGCTGGATCCGCGACGTCATGGCGGGGCGGGTGACGCAGTCGGACTTTGACACGGACGAGAGCGTGGACTTCCGGGGGAAACTTGCAACCAACCGGATCAATCGATCTGGTTCCCTGAACCGTTCTCAGGGTCAAGCCATTTCCCTGCGATCCTTTCAAGGGGGAGCTATCAGCTCGATGACTTTTGAAGGGGACGCCCAGTGACTCATGTCCTTTTTTGGAGGCGTTTGTTTGGTTTCACTTGGAAACCACAAGGAACACTGTTGCGCCATTTTGGGGGCCGATTTTTTGGCGAGTCGCCCAATTACGGGCTCGGTCCTGAGGAACATGTGGACCGTGCTCAGCGGGGATTGTGCCGTGGATTTAGCCAGTGGCTGCATCACCAGCCCGGGCTTCCCCAAGAACTACACCACAGCGGACTACTGCAAAATCGCAGCAACCACCTCAGCCTTTGTTGAACAGGGGTTTCATCCATTTACGAGTCGTCTTCTTGATTCAGAGAGCCAGTCTTAATCCAGTCCGAGTGTTGAGCTTGAGGTGAATTTCACTGCTGCAGTGCCCATCCATGTGGACAGTTTTGCTACGGAGAACAACTATGACTCCCTCATCGTGAACTGCGAATCCTTCTCGGGCAAAGCAGGCTTGAACAGGGCAAGCGCTCTTTCCCTGAACCCATTTGGCAGCACCAAATTTCGCCACCATTTTTTCCCCTTCTGCTCGGAAGGCAACATGTGTTTGATCAAACAACAAAGCCTTCAACATTCCAAAGGCCTGTTCCCCTTCACTTTCTTTTGAGGCCCAGCTGGCATCGTCCCTCAGACTGACATTTACTGGTCTTCAGATGGAAGCATCGCGGATAAGGGCTGGAAGATTTGCCCAAGCACCCGCTGAAATCCTTGGTTTCGCGTCGCTGAGTGCCTCGTCATACTCTTGTCTTTTTGGGAGGCACAACATGCTGCCTTCAATTCAAAATTCCATGCACAATTGGCTTGTAAAGACCCTGCACGGGTGGCACATGATTGAAGTATCTGAAGTGCCTTTGTTCTCTTGAGGGCACCAAAGGTGCTCCCCATTTTGCGCTGTACAGCTTGGCGCAGTGCACAGAGCGCCGCGGACAGGGTGAGACACGTAGGGAGGGGCTGCGTCCTTCGTTTATTTGGCAGTGCTCCAGTGCTGTGGAAGAGGGGCGTGAGGCGTTTCCTCGCAAAGGGCGATAGGTTGATTTTCGGGCGATTCTGACGCCACGAATGGTTGGGCTCTGCTGCACCATGGAAAAAGAAGCAGATCGACGACAGCATAGCCACAGATTTGCTGGCGGCCCGATGCTTGTCCCAGGACCGAGCTACATGCTGCAGGCGCGTCGGACGGGCTGACGTTATGCCATGGCATTGAGCACGAGTTGCCCTGGGAATGCTTGACCAACTCGGTGAAATCTTGCGAAACACGACAGTTGAAACGCCCCAGGCATGCACCCAGTGCTTGACTCCTGACTCGGTCTTTTCGCTGCATTTCCGGCTCCACGTTTTGCCACAGTGGCGCCGTGGCGCTGGTGTTGGTGGCTGTCAGTGGCTGTGGGGTGGCGGCACTGCGAAGATGCCGGCGAGTGCGTGTGGCGCTGGCAGGCTCGGCCAAAACAAGTGCAACCAAAAGCCCAAGCGCCCAAGGTAGACAGCGGCATAGGGCAATGCAGATGAAAAATGGGAAGAACAAGAACTCTAGTGAATGGAAACAAGGACTGAAACGTGCGGGGTCCATCTCCTGTTCTAATTTTGACCACCCATTCGGGCCCGGGCTGTTCGGGCGCGTCTTCAGACGCTGCGCTCGATGCAAAGCGAGCAAGCGTCCCAACCCAAAGTGGGCCGCCTTGTTATTGCACAATGTTAACCCCAAGTTGATAAACCCCTGGTTGATTTATAGGGGGGTGTCCCCTTTTAGTGGGGATTCATCACTTTTGGAGGGAACACCCCCCGCATAGTGGGACGGGTTTATTAATCCTGGGTCAACATTAATGTTAACCCTGGATTAATCAACCAACCAGTTTATTAATAGGGGGGTGAACTCCCCTCCAAAAGTGACTGGGGTTTTGATGACTGGGGTCAGCAGCGACCCCCCAGAGGCTTGGCCAGTTCTGCGGCTGGAACTTGGGCGCAGGCCTCTGCCTGAAGGATTCGAGGTGACGGAAGCCTACGCTTGGAGAGGGGCTGGGAGACTTGCAGGGTTGCCTGGCCAATTGTAAAAGTTTCGGAGCCTCCAAAAGTCTTGCAGTTTCAATGGAAAGCCTTGCACCAGTAAACTGATCCACTTTCGCAGGGGGCAATCTAGGGATCCCCGACTTGTGGTTTTGCGGACTCCTTCCGGCGCCGCTCAGAGCGCAACTCATCCGCCCATGTGCATCCTGAAAGTTGAATGGACGTCGAATGGCTCGCTGCTTCTCTGGGGTTGTGCTAAAGCAAACGTCTCCATTTGGCTTTGCCAAGCTTGCTTTGCGTGCTTGGAGTTGATGTTCGAATCGGTTCACCACGTGTTAAGAGGTGGGCAACAGTGCTTGTATGCTTGTACAAGGGTTGCATTGCACGGGCCACGGTTGACCAAGAAACAGCAACCGAGACGTTGTCTGGTGAAGACTCGCAGAGTGGCGCTATCAGGCACTTATGGGGGCACGGCTTAGCACTACCTATCTTTGGCCGGCGATGATGTGGCTGTGGGTCTAACATGGGTACCCAAAATGGAACCCTATGGGCTCGGTCTGGTGGTTTAACTTGATCCATACCCATGTGTCTAAGGGTGGAAGTACGTTCATACCGGTTCCTTGGCTTCCGTGGATTTCAACCCACTTTACAACGGGTATGTACCCCTTGTGGGAGAGGAGTATGAACATCAGCAGGCCTTTTGGGTTCATGTGTCCAAGGGGTATGTAAAAGGGGTATGTACAAGCACCTCTGGAATGTGATGCTCTCAACAATCCAAGGAGAACGTGCTCCTTCGACGACTTCGCCCAAAGGCCTGCCGCTCCTGAAGTTTGCATCGATGCGTGGCATGTGGCAAGCATCGATTCGAGGCCTGAGGCCTGGGTTCTTTGCGTATGTCTCTTTTTTGAGGGATCCCAGAAGTTGAGTTTCGGGTGGATGCCTTTGTCACATGTTTTTGTCAGGTGCGCTCGATCGCCACGTTTAGGATGGTTTTTAAAGGGGAACCAAAAAGAATACCGCCAAACTTTTGGGCTCCCTCATTTGGCGTTGCCAGGCCAACAGCAGAGCAGCTGCCCCCGGCACGACGGCATCCACGGGCCGCACGCCGGATGTGCTGCAGCCATCGCGCCTGCGAGGTGAACCACCCAGCTAGCAGCTCGCGTGTGTGTAAGTCTGAGACTCAGGTTTTTTTCCACGAGGCAAAGGCGCGATCACGGCCTCGATGCTTTGTGCCACAGGAGTCTGCGAAGGGCATCAGGGTGTCACCCGGCCGGCTGCGGCCTTGAAGGCTTTCAAGAGGAAAAGCCAGTCACGATCTCCCCGATCTTGGTTTGGGAACACGGAAATCCATTGCCCACAACCAAACCGACGTCACCAGACGACGGGACCAGGTCCGAAATCTGCGTATTGCAGCGTGTGCCAAGGAGCACTCATCTTTGGATCGGCTGTGTATATCTTTCAGGTCCCAGCGAGCAGGATGCGTGAGCAACGGAACAAAATCGCGCTCGTGCGATCCAAACCTGTCGAGGGCGATCATGCATGTTTCATCTCGCTCGGGAGGCAGCGAGCGGTGGGGGTGCCTGCCTCAGCTTGCAGCCGTCCCTTGGGAGGGCGAGACACTTTTCTCAGAGTCCATCGTGTTTGATTTGGTCCGAGTTTTGTTTTCGGTCTTCGACTTGAGTCCATGCAACAAAACGGGCGCTTGTGGATGAAGGGTCAAAGGTTGAGAGTTCGCGTCGCGGACGCTTCTTTGGCTCGGAGCAACTCGGGCAAGCCGCTCCGTCTTCTCGACCGGAAAGAGGAAAATTGTGACCCGCGATGACCGGCAACGTCCGCGAGGCAAGGGAGGCCAGGAACGTGATCCCAGCTGGGTGGTCTTGAAATGAAGTGAGAAGGAACACCTCATATATTTTTTTCTCCGGGCGGGTCCCCTTAAACAGACACACACACATACACACACTCGCACAAGCGAGATGCGAGTGAGACTTCTCGATGCCGAGCGCGTTCCTGCGAGAGAAAAGGGAGAGACAGGGCGTGTACGAGATCGTGACCATGAAGACCTTCGTGGACGTGGTGCAGATAGTGCCCTGCAAATACAAAATCCGTTTTATTTTCTTCTTTTTTCTCTCCATTTTTTTCTCGCACGTTTTTGGCCTTTTCCTGTTTTGCATGGGTGTGTCTGTTTGGAAGGAACGCTATTTCGGGGTTGATGGTTTGTCGGGTTTCTGTCAAGAAGCCGGCTCAAGAATGGGGGCTCCCATGAGTTTGCTGGCGCGAGGTACCTCCTCAGAAGGGGCTCACTCGCAGCTATTCCTGGCCACGACTCGCAGGAGCAGCGACAGAGGCCAGAGATTTCGTGACCTTGAGACATGGACGAGTCAACTAGAGATGTGCAGAGGGATAGTGACGTCCTTTTTGGTTTATTTGGTTGAAAAGTAGAGGGCGATTCCTGGTTTCTTTGGTTCAATCAACGCGCCAGCCTGGAGCCCAGGTCCTCAAGGTGAGGGGGTTGTCAACCTTGAAGCAGGACTCCGGTGGCCCCGAGTGGCTTATCCTTTGGAGAGATTCATCGTGCTGGAGTTTTGATGCTACCCCTTTCCGGGGGAAACCAAAGGGACGCCAAGGTCCCCGATTTGGAGACATGCCGATATACTCCGATATACCCAGATCCACACTTGAAGCCAAGTCCCAGATCCTTCAGCCCGGTTTTCAACAGGAGGTAATGCAGGAGAAGCTGTGCCTGGACTGCACGATTCGTTGGGTCGTCGGGTCGTCGGGTCGTCGGGTCGTCGGGTCGTCGGATCGTCGGATCGTCGGATCGTCGGGTCGCCTTTCGCCTGAGGGCAGCGAAGCACCGAGCGGGCGAGTGCCTGCCTTGCATCTTCTTCACTCGGAAAGGAGACATGAGACGTACAGCTTGTACGGTGGGTGTGAAATCCTAGGCACCACCATTCAGAAACCCTGGAATGATGAGTCGATTCCCCTTTGAATACCAACAAACAATGGCATCAACCATGGTTTCAAAGTGGTGCAGCTTTTCGTCCATCCACAGTACTTCAATTGATTTGCCTTGCCAGGTCGTGATTTGCCGTGTGAATTCGCAGGAGACGGCTGCCGTCAGGGTGACAACTGCACTCGTTGCCACATTTGCACAGCCACAGAGGCACGACGCAGGTGGGGAGACCAGTCCTCACTCGCTCTCCGTGTTTTCGACATTCTCCTTGATGGTAAAAAGGCTTCCTTGCTTGCACTTGTCTTCTTTGCTGTTTCGCCGCCTCGAACCGAACAGGCGAAGCCCGAAAGTGCCTGAAAGGTCCGGCCGTTGCGTTTCGATCGAGGCGGAATCGCATTTCGCTGGAGATGAAGAAGTCGAAGAAGGCAGAGCGGAGGTTGGCGGCGCCGCTCGGAGCGATGTCGGGCACGCGACGCTGACAGCTCTCCTCTTTCGGCATCCGAGGTTCAACTGAATAAATTTTGAGCAGCTGCGCAGAGCGCGTGCCCCGGCCAGAGTTTTATGTGAGGTTTTAAAAGCTCCGGTTCCGCGCGCTGTGCTTCCGTGCGCGTTTCTCACGAACGCCTCGCTGTGTCAGTGACGTGACTTTCTTGGCACAGCCTGTTCAGAGTGCACTAGTCTTCCAAATTTGTGCCCTTTGTTGAGAGACCCAACATGGACCTCAGTGAATCAGCCCAGGATGCTTGCGAGGAGCTTGGCGAAGCAAGTCACACCGGCAGAGATCGAGTATGGCTCCCTTGACTCTTCGTTGCTTGGCTTGAAGGTCCTCTTCGTATTTTCGCCTGCATCTTTGCCATGTTTTTGATCTAAAAAGGTGGGGTATGGATGAGTGAGGCAGTGAGGCAGTGAGGCAGTGAGGCAGTGAGGCAGTGAGGCAGTTAGGCAGTGAGGCAGTGAGGCAGTGAGGCCAGCAGGGCGACCGAACAAAAAGATGGCCCTTACCTGAGGCATTTTTATCACACTTCCAGCTTCAATTCACGATCTTCTGTTTTATGAAGTGCATGACAGCAAGTGAGCGGGCAGGACAAGACCATGAGCTTGCAAACCTAGAGGCAAGACATGTCAAAAGGAAAGTTGCGCGATGCGCAAGAGAGACTGCTTTGTTTTGTCCCGCTCCTTTGAATTTGGATGCATTGCCACGCTCGGTGATCAGCTTGCCAGCGCAGAACCGCGGCATGCATGTCACTCGCGCTGTTTTGCACAAGGGGCATCGCCATGCGCGCAAGGGCGGCAAACGCCATCAGACTGCTGATGTTGGCACGGGGCATTTTGCTCTCCAGGGCATGCAAAAGGCGCTTTCTTGGGAGCAAAGTGTAAAGCAGCTGCAGGCGAGCCAGTTCCGTGCCTGTATTTGCCTTCAGAGAAACTCTGGAAGCACAGCTCCGGCCGTGCGCGAAGTTTGCAGCAGGCCGGAGGCAGATAGGGAATGCACAGGCTCAGATTCAGCCCTTTGAAGCACAGGAGTCCGAGATTCGAGGAATTCGAATGGCGATGCAAGTTCGCCACACTCTCTCAGTCAAATAGGATGTAGGGAGTTTATTCGCCTTTCCCATCCTTTGAGCTCTGCGGACGTCGGCTGGAGGCCTTGATGAGACGCAAATCTGGAGGGATCCTCCCGAAGGCTCAACCGTGTTTGTGTTTCCGCGGGATATCGCGGGAAAAGCATCGACGCTGTCTGCAGCGGTTGTTTTCTTGCAGCATTACGTGGCAGTTTTTTTCCCCCATGCGATGGTATGTGGATTCTCTAGGCTCAAGTCCATCCTGCAAAAGGCACCAGATTTACCTAGTGCACTTTCGTGGTGAATCAGCACCATGGCCGCGATGGGAGTCAACTGGTCGATGCAGGACCGGGATTGCTTTGGTGCATTTTGCCCAGGGATGTTTGGACTGAATCACTTGTGGCCAACGAATGGCTTTTGCGTATTAAACCACTAAAAGTTAAACTTTTCCATTAATCCACTTTTCCATTAAACCACTAATGCTTTTTCAACGAATGGCTTTTCCAAGACCAACAAATTGCAGAAAGCAACCGGGACTGCATGGATTGGAGAAATCGGTTCCGCGAGAATGTGCATCAGGCGTCTTCCTCCAGCTTCTCAGCTGTTGTGAAGAACACCTTCATTGACGTGATCGAGGTGCGGAATCGGCTAAACCCCCCGTCAAACCACAAAAAGGGGAACCCTCAACTCTCCCGGTACCCTCAACAGACGGACCCATTTACGTACAGGAATCACCCGAAGCTGAAGTTCTTGCTGTCTTGGAAGTCTGGAGCTATTCGGGGAGAGGAGTTTAGGACTGAGCAAGATCCATTCCTCCCGGTTTCTGCAGAACTCCATTGTAACATTACCCTTGTTGTTTTTCTTCCATGAAATACTAGTGCGTTTTCTCAGAAAGAACCGTTGGTGTTGTTGTTGGCTTGGGCCGGGAACTGCGATGTGTGAATCTTTTGGTGGCAGGGCGTTTTGCAGCTTTTTTTGTCGTCCTTGATCTGGACGCATTGCCGATTCCTATTTTGGTAGCAACACTTGACTGTTATTTCTTGCTGGTTTGCCAGCGAGTAAGAACACATTGATGTGTGATTTGTTATCTACAGCTGGGTGTCGGAGAAGACTCCACCACCTGGCAGGTGTGGAGTAGAAAGCCTTTGTTATCTCCTCCTACCACGTATTTTGTAGTCTCTTGCTGGGTTGGTGCTTGAGCGGCACATTGCCGTGAATTTGTGAGTATCACCTTCATATTTTGTGCCTTGTGCAGGAAGGTGCTGAGATGTGCAAGGCAAACCCTTGCTCTTCGTGAGACTCGCTTGATGCCCACTTAGCAGTGGCTCAAAAAACCGGTACCAAAATGGGTTGCCCTGGCAAGTGGAAACATGGACCAACACCTGCATCACCCTAAGCCGTTTAATTTCGAGCCACACCTATTTGTTGAGCTCCCGTGTCGAGCCCGAAGTTGAGCTCCCGGAGCTTTCGCAAAGTTTGTTGCGGGAAAACGGGGAAAAGGGGTGCAGTTGTTGGATTTTTTCTTTGCGAACTCTGCGTTCGAAGAGTGCCTTCCAGGCGAGCCACGGTCCCAAAAAAGGAGTCGGGTAGATGGCTTGGCGGGTAAGGGATTCCCAGCCATAGGTGTGAGAATCCGCCCTAAGTGTTGGGTTTTGGGTCCCACCAACACGCACCTATGACAACCATACTCATATTTATCGGACAAGAGAAAGGGAAGCAACAAATCCATGAGCATTCAATTCACTACCCAGACCAATGATTCGACGCCGGCTGCGGCTTCTTGCCTCAGGTTTCTGAAGATGTGCCAGTTCCGAAGCGTTCTTTGTCGATGCCCGCGCTTCCCACGTGGCGCGGCGGCTTCGGGTTCGGCTTTCGGGCGAGGGTCCCGGGAAAAAAGGAGAGACAAGCCTTCCTTTCCTTTGGTTTCTCCTTTCCTTTGTTTTTTCCTTTCCTTTGGTTTTTCCTTTGGTTTCCCTAAAAGGGTGCCCTCAACCAAGAAGACGAGCAGTTTGCACAGCGCTGGAGACGCTGTCGGCATCCCAGGTTTGAAGTGGATGCGGAAGA